AACAGAGAATAAACTGCCCAAATACCCTTAAACAAAGGAAAAGTACGTCCTTTATGAAGGCATAGAGCCTTTACTACATGAAAATGAAAATTAATGAATACACTGTGTACAGTAATTTACCTGATAAGACAGACCTCAGAAAAATACTTTATGAGAGCTTTTATACTTTTATAAAGCTGTCTATAATGAAAATTAATTAACTAAGGATTTTTTTGTCCTGACAGGGTGTGGCCGAGTTATCCGGAGTGCCGGGTTATCGAGTGCCAAGTTTTCGAGGCTCTACTGTATAACTATTTAATATTTATATATAGTCATCACTATTATAACAACTCTAAAAAGAAAATGTCCAAAAATAAATGGCATCAATATTAAAACTTTTAGAGTTTAATCATTAATAGATTTTCTTCTATACTGAGTACAATTATTATAAAGTTAAATTTCAATTAGTTTCTTAAATTAAAATTTTATTTTTTTGCCATGTTATTTGATTTCTAAATGATATTAGATAATAAATCTGAATGAAGAAACAATACCTACCTACAATATTTAATATTATAGATAAACTATCATTATTACTGTAATATATTAATATGTAAAAAATATTAAACACATAGGATCAGAAAATCTTAAATATGTCTACAAATAAGTAACTAAATACAAGAGAAAATCTAAAAGGATCTTTCTCTAATTTCGATAAACATCAGGAAGAATAGTCTGTTTGATGTTAGTTTCTATTATTATTATATATATAAACAGATTTAAAATAAAAAGCAACATAAAGCATCCTGTATTTATATAATTATAGACAAAAGAATTGTTTCAGCTGAAAATAAAATAAATAGAGTATATTTTATTGCTTTTATATATTTAACCTAAAATTTGAAACATTTTCATATACAAGGTTTAAAATAAATAAATTTTTTCATTAATATTTAATATTAAAAAGTTTACCCTTAAATGAAAGAAATATGAAATTTATTGAACTATAATTTCATTTGAAAAAAAAAAATATATTGTCTCCTTATCTCCTGATTCTTGATGTTGATTATGAAATGACTAATAAATTTGATAATAAATTCAATTAAAATATTTTATTGATGTGTGTATATACATATACATATATATATATACACATCAAAGACATATTTTGATAGTTAATGAATTAACTATCAAAATATGTCTTTAGGAATAACTATTTTAAAAAACTTTCAAAAATTTGGAAATTTCAAATAAATTTTATATTTATGAAGAGATATTAAAGCAATTTTTTTGACACTGATATTATTTACAAAATTTTACACTGTTATTTGTTTTACTGTAATTTATATTAAACAAGATTTATACTCTTTACTTAAGAATATAAATTATACTTAGTACATATTATGTAATAAATTACAATAAAAACAAAACAAATGAAATTACCTTTTTCCTAATAACTGGTTTGATGACTACATGCATCAAACAAAACCTTTACAATCCAGTAAATAATTTTAATGTAAATTCGACAAATGTTTTCTTACACAAGATCTTGTGTAAGAAAAGATGGAAAACGCTTGTCAAATTTGATGAATGAAACAAATAAAAATAAGAATTTTTATAAATAAAATAAATAGGCCAAAAGAAATAAAAAAAAACTTTATTTTAAAAGCTTAAAACAATCAAATCAGAAAGAAATTTAACTAAATAAATATTAGAATTTAAATTTTTTAATATTAAAATTAAAAAAACACTTATTTTTTGGAACCATTCTTAATTTTTGTAAGCTGATCAAACTACAATTATCTTCAAAATTTGACACATTGAATAAGTTTAATTGCTCATATAAAATTTGCAAAAAACAAATGCTCAAGATAGAGATCCTCTTCACTAAGGAGAGTTGTTTCCTTTTAAAATGAATTTTATATAATCAAACTAATGTTTCCAAATATTCTGATGAACTACAAAGCAGAAAAGCTGTATATTTCTGTTTTAACTGTCTTCCATAGAAATATTTGAATATGTTAAGGTATGTCAATAATTTGTAAATAATATTATAAGGTTGGAATCATTTAAACTATCATGTTTAGATAATTTGAAGTCAACATTTTGGATGAAGATGTATTCAAAATTTACAAATTCCAGCATTCTCATTTCATTATTAATGTAAAGCATTACTGTTAGTTTCTATAGTTTAAACTTCTTGATTCTGTTCTAATTGTATACTTTTTTTGATCAATGATAGGAAATATCATTAATCAAAAAAGTTCTGTATGCGAGTTCTGTATAAGTGACATTTAATTATACATATATTATCTAAATCTAGCTTCTTGTTCTGACTCTATATTATTTCTTATCACATTATTCAATATTTTAATACTTGATATTAGACATTTTCTACATACAAAATACCAATGGAAACCTGCAATTTTAAAATATTTTAACTGAATTATGTACACATGAAATAATAAATTACTTGACAGTCAGATTCGTCAAGTCCTGGTGCAGTATAGAATGGATTAGAGATGAAGCAAGCAGATCTGTATAAATAAGTCCAATCCCAAAATGGTAAAATCTGAAATAAAACAATAATTAGCACATTTCATCAAAAATTTTTTGCATTATATATTTTATTAAACTTTCTAAATATTTTTAATTTATCTTATAATTTAATATGTAGCCTAATATTAAATACATAAAAATATATTATTATGTATTATATATATTAAAAAATGATTTATTTTCGAAATAAAAAATTACCTTGATTAAGAAAAGTCGACCAAGCATACAAATCATACGAAAAACAGGATCATATAATAATAAACTGATACATATGCCAATAACTATAATCAGAGTTACTCCAGCAAAGAAACGTTTCTTCACTTTCTCCCATTGAATCGAGCGAATTAAAGGCGAAGCAGCTTTCAATATTTCTCCTTCTGTCATTCCATTTTTAATACAGTAATCATAAAGATCGCGTATTTCTTTATCAATTAATTGCAATGATTCGTCCGACATAATGCAGATAAACAGCTTTGCTTAAAAAGACAATACTATGTAGTAATTAAATCGACGCTTCACTTCACCGCTTTTATATCACGTGATCGAATTGTTTACTTTGACGTTGCACGTGTTAAAGCGCAACGAGTTTATGAATTTACATTGTTGCCAGCTGACGGTCAGTATATTCACAATGGCGGAAGTCCTACTAACATTTTTTTCCGTCGTTCTTTTTTCGTGGACTCAAATAAAATATATAGTAAAACTTGTGTACACTAGAATCGAATAGTACCAAATATTTTTTTAGTTTGCCAGATTTTCGTTTTAAACAGGTTCCTTTTTAACATAAGAAATCGTTCCGTTCCGACGAATTTTTCCCCGTTTAGGCTTGTTTCCTTTTATTTAGGTTTTGTTTTAGACAGGTTTTATCATACACTGTTTAATTTACGTAAATATTTTAACTTTAACATAACTAGAAGAAAGAAATATACTTATAAAATCCAGAATCGGACAATTAATTACTGCACAAATATGGAATTCTCTCTGCGTAATTCGAATTGCTCGTCGTAGTAGGTAGAGGTGACCGAAGGTGGTACTTAGCGGGATTACTGATCCTTCAAATTTTAAGGAACGTATACAATAGTAATCAAAAACTTCCAAAAATCTAGTAGCTCTTTAGCGGAGGGAAAAAAAGACATGAAATATCAATGAGAAGGTGATAGGTATAAACATGGTGATTGAGAATTGGATTTTTTAATAATTAACGGTTGTTTCGGGAGTAAGGTGTACTGTACTTCTGAAATTATCGTACATCTTACGGCGGCTGAAATAATCGTATAAACACGATACATGTAATTAACGTACAGATGGCAAATCTGCCTGGCGGCAATTTGTAGATTTTTCTGATAAGTTTTATATGAGTGAAAATTGTTAATGTTTTTCAGTATTATTCGAATAATTATTGAACATTGTTTATTTTTCTTAATGCTTTTTGCTGTTTTTGTAAGATAAATTTACAGTGGCGCATTTTTCTGTGCCATTTTATACTTCGAATAAATCAAAAATGTGTCAACTGATGAAATTAAATGTGTCGAAGAGGTAATTGAAGGTAATTGAACCAGAACTGAAACTGCTTGCAACCAGACTTTCTAACATTATACAAGCCAATATTTGTTCTGTAACAATGGCCTACATTAGTGGGTACTTAAGGATATAGGAGAGTTTGTTGATTGTTCTGACTGTTTGGACATGATTGAATCAATGAAGACACTCCCTTCTATGAATCTAATAAATTTAAATGGTCGTGGGAAACTTTTATATCTAAAGCTAGAATTTATTATATTTTTGCTACTAGAAAAAGCAATTGAAGTTGCTCTATCATCTTTTATTCGCCAGCTAGCTGTGATGTTTCGTCTGTGCAAGATAATTCAGCCGTGGATAGAAAAAAAAAAAAAAAAGAAAATAATTGCACGTATCAAAGATGGACAACCAAAAGTAGTTTATAATTTGATTTTAAGAAAATTTATTAGACCTTACATTTCAAACTACTCACACAAACTGTAAATAATGCATACATAAGGGAGAATAAACTCCACAGTAAAACTTCATAAAATAAACCCCTGTTCAGAAATATTATCAAACGTGCACCTTTAATTAAAAGTGTAAATTTGAATTTGGTAAAATAGCTTTTATTTTTATTTGTTTATTTTTTGTTTGCTATGAAATAAAGTCATTTGATAGATCAAGGAAGAGGCAGACTTAATTTAATACAGTAGTAATAATAATTTTTTTTTGTTTTAGATAAACAAATTGCATAAAAATAAGTAATATCTCACTGGTGCCCTCAGGACCTCTTTCTCTCTTTGTTTCCTGTAATTCCATGAATCGCGGCCCTTATCACCCAAGGGAAAAGAAACAAATAAGAAAGTTCTAGAAGTGAGAAGAAACAAAGAACGAAGGGAAATATTCTAAACTCCGATTAATTAATTAAAATTAATATATATAATTTTGTGAATATGTATGTAAGCATGCATGTATGTGTATTGGCGTCTATTAAGTTTAATATCCCAGGATGGAGTAATGATTAACGAAATTTAGCATAGTAGCTTGTATAAGGGACATTAATGCTATTAAATTTTGGTAATCAAAGATCAAGGGAACGGGGAAATAGAGAGTCATGTTATATCTCGATAGGGGTAGGACTTATTAATTTATTCGTTATCAGAATTTACAACTTTTTATAAAACTCTTCTCTACCCTCAAAATTAAGCATTTTGCCATTTTATAATAATTAAAAATTTTTAAATAAAATCTCATAATAGATGGCGCCACATACATTTTAAATTTCTTTACCGCGAAAGTTATGCACCTTGTTGCTGATTTTAAAATGTTTCTAAATATCAAAATATGCAGTGTAGAAATACACCAGTAAATACAATAGAAACTCGATTATCCGAAATAAAAAAAACATGTAGCGCTGTGTACATACCAAATTCTCCATGTAACTTTATTGTACCATGTTTTAAGGTTAATTTCCCTAATTTTCCTTGTTCCCCTTATACAAGGGGAACGTCTCAGGTTACATGTATTCCTTGTTGTCACGTCTGTTGTTCATTAACACCCAAATAACAAAAAACAGTTTCTGAATAATCTGAAGAACCCCTGGTTTTATAATCAAGTATTCACTGCATGTTCTTATTACAAGAGTACATTTTTTTCTTGAAGAGTTTACTCAACATGAGAAACTACTATTATACTATTATTACCTAATTTTATAATTTATTCAAATATGAAACTAAACACAAATATTCTTTAAAAATTTAATATATTGTAAGCTACAACTCTGTTTTATTTAACAGAATGCATTAAAGACTGTATACCTATTACAAAATATAATTTTCTGTAATCAATCATTTAAAAAATATGAATAATCAAACTACAAATGTATATCTGTTTAAAAAACTTTTAATGAATTGCACTTGTTACAACTTTAACAGAATATATTGATGGTTGTACAGGAATTATCACAAAAAATAAATTTCAGTTTAAGTCAAATTAGTAAGGCACTTAGTGAAATAATACAAAATGTAGATTGATGATTTCTACAGATGTCTATAGTTCATTAAAAAAATATAGTTTGTACTTCTCAAATAAAATACAGGTGTAATTCTCATTGTGCGTGATTCACAATATACAAAAGTTTGAAAAACAGGGAAAATTTTAAAAATAAAATTACAGTTTTAGAAAATACATGACAAAATGTCTAGAAAATTATACAAAAGTTCTTATAATAACTTTAAACAACACTGTTATTCAATAAATTATCACTGTATATATACATATAACAATGATCCTTTATATACATATAAAGTTTCATCCCAAAACAATAATTTCCTATTTACATAAAATGCAGTATTTACATATGTATATAATTTATTTAAAATCTAATAAAATCTTTAAATAAAACATTTTTATGTTTCAATTTTAACCACATTTTATATAAATAACATATAAGTAAAATAAAAATTTATTACAATAACTATAAAATAAAAAAATATATGACTAGTTGACGTAACAGTTACTGAAACATCTTAAACTTATAACTTAATAAGGGGATCAAATTTACATGTATTTTTTATTAACTAAAATGTTGTGCTTAGTATATACTAATTTTGAAATCTCTAAACTGTTAAATATTATCTTATTTAATATTACATAATTTTATCACACTAATTAGCAAACTATTTTAACAATACAAAAGGAGGAAAAGAAAACCTATAAAACTTGACAAATGTTAACTTTTCCATATTTTAGTTCACAAAGATAAAAAATAGTTGCAAATGTTTAAAAATTTCTCCAAAATAAAAATTATACATGATTTTTTCTTTTATATTTTTAATCACAAATCCAATAAATCACAGATTTTACATTTCTTGCCCAATAATGCTGAAATGTAGACATTCATTAACAAATATCTAAATTTCAGGCTTACAAGTTAGTAATTCATTTAACTATTGCTTAGTTCTAAGGAAAAATGATTCCATTTAAGCAAAACAAGTTCGAGACAAACTTGGCAATCTTCTCTGCTATCATGAGCATTTTCTTGAATGATTTGGCCTAAATATTTCTCTGATAAAGATTTCAATGATGGGCGAAAACAAAATCCACGTTCAGAATCAAATATTACAGACGTATCTACAATTTTTGCATGGATAAAATGTAAAGCTTGGAGGTCATTTTCCAGTGCATGACCAATTATAATGGTGTCTTTGTTAATAATATTTAATAATGATTCTTGTACTTCTTCAAATCGAAGTGTATTCTTCTCAAGCATTTCTGCAGTGATGCCACTGTACTCTGTGTTATAGTCAATTATAGGTGATCTTGGTTGCACATATGTCTCAAATAATAAACTTCCATCAAATGATAAGAGAGTCAGTTTAGTTATTTCCAATCCCAATTTAGTATAACACATTTCTGTATCTAAAACAACGATGTTCTTTTCTGTAAAGTCATTTTCAGCTGTGTTTAAAAAATCATCATTTGCTCTGCACTTTGAACTTGATACATGAAAATTGTTAAAAGTGCAGCCAATACTTCCTTTTTCAGTATTGCAACATGGATAAATCTGATAGGATGTGTCATATGGGAGAACAGAAATCGCTTTTTTAGGGTGATAAACACATATATCATCCAAATCATCAATATTACTATTATATTCAGAGCGGCAACGAGCACATCTTTCTATTAAAGAACCTAAATCAATTTCACCACAAGAAGCTTTATCAACGGATTGCATTGGAAATTTATATGCCATTAACTGTGATGGTGTTAACATTATTTTCTCTAAAAATGAATAAAAAGAAATGAAGAACTCTTCCTTCCTCTCCATTTTACAACCAACAAATTGATGTTGATTACATGGCAATTCTAATGGCTGTGGAATTGATTTCCATGTAGTGGTTCCTATTTTAAAACAAACATTTTGATCAATTCCCTCCTTTGGCAATTTGAAACAATACAGCTCTGGAGATGGTTCCCATGGAATAGGAGGATCTCCATCTATCTCCATTTTAATACCAACAAACTGACGTTGACTGATTCTTCTCTTACGTGGCGATTCTAAATAAGTTGGCTGTTGAAATGGATGAAATGGTGTAGGAGGAATTTCATATCTATCTCTTCTATAATCAAAATTTCTATTGATTCTCTTATTACGTGGACATCCTGCATAAATTTGCTGTGGAAATTGCTCAAATGGTATTTCAGAAACGCTCGAATTCAAATTGTAATAATACTCTTCGGGGACAATAAATGGATAATCTTCATTAAAACAACCTATACCAGGAGGATGGTACGTATAAAATGGTTTGCTACAAGCCATTTTCAGAATCTAAAAAATAAATAATAACATTAATTAAATTAATTACATTACAAGCTAACTTACAAGCAATTTTAAGCAGTCATTAAATTAGAACTTGTTTAATTAATATTTAAGAAAATTATATAAACAAGATATTAAATAATTTTCACACAAAATTACTGTACATATAAAATTCTAATCGATAAATAATTATGGCCAATATTTTACTATACTTATTTACTAACAACAGAATACGACAACATATCGTAAGAATCGAAGAGAAGCACGTGGTTAACTGTGCAAGCCAACCACGTGGTAGCCTAATGTCACAATAAAGGCTTGTACAATCAAATTACTCAAACCAAATTTTAATTTTATTTCTTAAATTATACTCATATAAACTATTATATTTGAGATCGATTCAATAAACTCATCTCAATAGACTCGACAGGTATTACTATGATATTACTATAACTATAAATAATGACAACGTTTGAATAGCTCCGAATTTGACAAATTATCATTTAATAAATGTATATCGTTCAAACAAATTTATAAAATTCTAATCGATTATATCTATAGTAATATATTTTACACAACAAAAAAGATCATTTTACTTAATTATAAATTAAATTAATCATCATATTTATTGAGAAACAGATTACGTGGAGAAAAGCAATCATGTACCAAAGCACATGGAAACGTATAACAAAAGATACGAAAGCACGTGGTAACGAATAATGAAAATATAAAAAAAAGGCTTAATTTCCGCTTATCAATACATATAATCATGAAAATTATGTCTCAGATCTTAATCTATGACCTAATTGAGATTATTATTACAACCAAATTAAATAACTAATACTAACTAAAAGAAATGACAGCGATATTTCTAAATTACTTACCAACTTTCGAAATCTTCAAAAAAATAATTAATAATCAATACGATGAGACTTATTCAATAATCCGATATCTTTTTTGTAGATACGATCAACACTTTTCAACATGTCAACACAAAGAAAACTTGAATAACTGAACTGATAAGCGAACACTGACGTATTGCTCACTTCACAACCGCAAGGCGACTGGCAGAAACGAAAGTAGAGAGTCGAAGTATACTATAGGTGGCGCCAAAACCATGACGTCATCCTTGGTTTGACGTCACGTTCTACGAATAACTGAGTCAGTGGCAATGTCCTGCGGCTAGTAACTACTTTCATTTTATCGTAGAACTATCTCCTGTATATATATATACTGTCTATATAAATGGTATTGTAACCTAAACCTACTTTTCATGCTTATCGAAATAAATAAATAATTTTAAGTTATTAATTTGTATTTATTTCAAAAAATAATCTTCGTGTAGAAGAATAATAAATAAAAATTTGAAGGGCAAAGAACTCATCAAGGTCTCTCTCTCCACGTGTATTACAATCGGTTAAAAATTCAAAATATTTTTATGAAATTGGTTTATTTTTTTTTAATGTAGATAATAAATTAAAAATAATTCGATTTAATAATTCTTCGTAATTTTGTCAAATAATAAACTCGTTCAATTAATTTTTATGTTGAATATTACGTTCAGGAAAAACAGTTGTCGGTTTTCCTATTACATTCTAAGAACTATCATTCTGTAAACGGAACTATAAATGATAAATAAATATTCCGATTTTAACAAATAAGGAAAATTTTACGAAGATTCTTATCTGTTTAGGTAACAATAATATTTAGTGTGATATTTAATAGGTTTCTAGAAAATTAATTCGGTTTATCAGTAAAAGAAATATATAAAGATTAATGATTTTAGCAGAGAAATTGGCTCATATTCTATATTTTTCTCTTCAGTTTTGAATAGAAAATTGTGTTGCGTTTAATACGAAAATCCTTTCTCAGTTTTATCAATTCAATCGGAGTTTCTTACTTTAGACTACATCCGTTTCTAAACGTGTAATTTCCCCGTAAATAATTATTTAACCGTATAGAGACAAACATATTCCTTCCCCAAATAAAAAGTCCTTTTATCTTTCTAAAGTAGTTTTGTTTGGATCTTATTAACAAATATTCCTAGACGATAAACTTTAGTTCATTTATATAGGCCTATACTATTGATAATTTTTTTTCCTTTTATAGATCTTTTTGTTTCTTAAACAAACAAAAGCTTCGATAAAAATTAAGTCTTTAAGCTTTATATTTCAATTTCACATAGATTTATAAATATTGTATGTTAATATGATGCAAGCTTTTTAATATATATTATAGTTGAAAAATTGCACAATAAACTCCATCACATGCTATCACTTTCTTGCGAAATTGCTTTTTATCGCACATAATTTTAAATACATTATGAGAATATTTGAATTTATATAAAATTAGATTAATTTTTTATTATCACCAATTTATCTGTTAAAAGATATAAAATTTAATTTTTAAAGTTTGTATATCAAACTTAAATTCGAGTGATGCAACAAGTAGTGCCAGTGAACTTTGGCTTTCTGCCAACTTATACCTGTAGTTCACTGTGTATATATTACGGTACTCACTATTTGTATACTAATTTTTTTTTTAATTTTTATTATAAAAAAATGCAAGTTTTGTGTTAAGGCATAGTAATTTATATTTATTAATTTTCTTATAAATAAAAATTAATTTTTTATAAAGCTAATAATGTTAGCTTTTATTGTACTGTATCTCCTGAAATTTTTTCATGTCTTTTTAAAGCATTTATTGTTTATCAATTGTCATCCTTTTTTCATTTTTATTTTTAAATAAAATTTTTTAAGACCTTTCTCCTTTAATAACTTGTCAGTAATAGAAAACAGTAATTAAAATTTTTCATTTATTTATTATGTATTTTTACAAATTTATTGTTTTAAATGAATTTATTAATTCATTTTGAATATTTTAAAATAATTTTTTACATCTTAGCTAATAATTTTTAATAAAATATCATCCTAAAGAAATATATTTGTCAATATGTTCATTTTTTTACTTTTAATGCAGCGTGTGTAAATATTATGAATCATTTATACTATATTATCTTTCAATGATATCGGGTAATAGACTACTCATAAACATTTCAAAGAGTTAACCTCGTTGAAAAGTATTTCGAAAAATAAACAGATGTTTAATAATTCTGATGATAAACATGTTTAAAATAATTTCTATGTAACTTATCTGTAAATTATTAAACTTATATTTCATAAACTCATTAGAATTCATAAGAACGATTGAAAATAGAAATCTCCTAACAGTGTTTCTGATAAAGTTCATGTTTAAACTATTTTCATTAGAAGCTAGCAAAGAGCCATGACTTGATAGAAACCAGCAAAGAAGCCATGACTGAATTAAAAACGTTGAGTTGTCTTACTTGTTAGTCATTGACCAGACCCCCTACTATTATAAAGCCTATTATGACTGAATGAAATGTTAATTAGTACCCTTCATATATTGTCATAATTATAGATGATTATTTGAATACATTGTCATATATGTGAGTTTAAAAAATTATAATAATTTGATAAACTCTAAGTTCCTCTAAAGGTTAATATTAATTTATTTATCGATAAATATTTGAAATTATAGCTTATGTATTAGGGCACATAAGTAAAGAATTTAAATTATGGAGCATATAAATATTTTTTGTTTGCAACAGTTTTTCTTTAAATAATAAATTCTTTCAAAATTTGCAGTTAACTTCAATGTATTGATTGCTTCACAGGGAATATTTGTTGAGATCTGTATACAATATACACACTTCGTGTTGTCCTGTGCGTGATGTTAATTTGATAGTAATTTATTCATTTTATGTATTCTTATAAAAAGATTATTATTATTATTATTATTATTACTATTATATTTTTACAAAACTAGATTTCTACATTTATATTATTTAACGAAATTATAATTAATTGCATTCCAAGTGACGAATTTATAGTAAGAAGCCGTTAGATCCCGATTAATTAGGAGTCTCCAAACTGTTCTGCGAGTAATTTCTAGACTTGTAAACGTGTTTTCAGTTCTTAATTTGTTTTTGTTTCTTGTTCCAAATAAGACAACAGCTGTTTAGAGGTATGCGCGTGATCTGTCACGTCGTAAGAGTTATCTCTTGAAAAACTCCTGTTTACTTCCCTGGCAAGAAATATGAAAACAACTGTACCAATGTTTTTCTTATAGAGAAAGAAAATATCGTTAATTAATCGACCTTTCTACAAAAATGTTTTCCGAGATGTTTGATAATTATACAAATCATAGACTGGATGCTATTGTAAATAATTTATATAATTATTACGATCTAGATTATTCATATATAGCTTACGTTAGGCCAGCATGTTTACTGATATATTAAATATATATTTATTCTAAGAAAGAATTCAAATTACGTTATCTTACAATTAATTTCTGTTTACGCTATTTTGGCACGGCGCCCATAAATTTACGTCATAAAGGTTTCAAGGAAAGGATCTTTTACGCGTAACGTAATAGAAATATATACGGGCAAAATACGTAAAATAACAATGAATTGCAACATTTTGCATGTTATTATGGAAGGATTTTCCGAACTTATTTCCTTTCGATTTCAATGAACAATTAATTAAATGAAGAGACGTATTGAATGTCGTGTATTTTAGACAATAACTTGTCTAAGATGAATACGAAATAAAAGAAATTTTGTAGCAGAAATACATGCGCATAAATTTGATCGCTGTGATTGCAGGAAAAGGTCAGTCTCATACGAGTTTGCAATCCTAGAATATATAGAAGCAAAATAGCGTGAATACAGTAGGTGAGAATGCTTTTGTGCCATTGAGATCAACGTGAATCTATGTTCCGGATGTTTGTGCTATGTTTTATGCTTACAAATATGTTGCTGTCATAAGTGACGCTATAATAATAAGCATTATTATCTTATAAACTAAGATAAAAAACATATACGAAAACTCTCGTGATTGCCGTTTTCGAGATGTTGAAAGATATACTCAAGATAATGATGGTCCTAAACTAGATCGAAAGGTGTTCCGCATCCATTTACAGGCTCGATTTGCCATCTTGCAACTTCCATGTTTTCGGATCTTTAAAAAAGTTTCTCAAAAATTACAGATTCCAGTCTGATAGCGTAGTCTAGCAGCTGTAACTAAATGGTTCATTAAGCAGGTATATACCCTCTACCTAGAAAGAAGACTTCTTACTTTCCTCTTTCTATGTGGAGGGTTTACACCCTTGTACTACATTGGGACACGTGATTAAAAATTCTACTAATTGATTTTAAAATTGTAAACTAAACGCAACAGTAATTCAAATTTATTAATCGAGTAAACAAGCTGATATGTAACTAAATAATAGTAAATTTAAATTTACTACTGTATTAATATTATTTTACTGGAATGGGAAAGTCCCTTATACATTATAGTTTAGAATCACAAGTCTAAATATCTCCCTGTCCACATTAAATTAAGGTTTATTAACCCCGTTAACTAGTAAACTTCAATTTTTAAATTACAATTGATTCTAAACCGAATCGAATCAATGTGATTTCATAA